CTCAGTATCGGAAATGTTCGGGTGTACATCGCCACTCAAGTGTCACCGTGTTCCTGAGCTTGATGGCCTTCCACCTGCTCAGGGATGGTTGTGAATTCCCAAGTCATCATCGACAGCGTAACACCAGTGTTCAATATTAATGCTTCGGCGCCGCACACTGATTTATTTGAAAGTCATCGCGAAAAAAAGATTAAAAGTACATTGGGAAATGACCTAGTGCTAGCCTTTCACTATCTTTCTGGGGCACCTACATCTCCAGACACCCAGAATCTGAACAGGAACCAACAACAAGAACGCCATTGACATGGAGTAACAGCCGTATCTTTCGGTATTTCCAACCACGCACAAGGGTAATCATGCTGTCCCTAACCTGGAAGGTATATCGTTTTCATACCCCTCTGTCAGGTCAAAGGCTGACCATCTTTCTACGTGTACCAATTTGAATTGAAAAACCACCTTTCTGCGCGCATAATCCCTGACCAAACCAACACTGGACACATTCTTCAGCTGACGTACGATTGCACAACTAAGCTTTTTTCTTAAATTCTACTGTTGCGGATTTGCCGGCAACAGCCCACACGAGCTAAGGTTTTGAGACAACGGTTATCAAAAACCTGAAGTTTTAATTTCTCTGTTTGAAGAGGCCACGTCTCAGCCATACAGCAAAACAGCTCATATGGTAGCCTGACATTCCAATGAGATTCAGGGACATAGGTATCTCGTGTTAGCGAACACTACCCGGGTCTTAGAGATTCGCGCATTAACTCCATCTGTCACACTACGGTCGGAACTAAAACAACCTCTAAGTTGCGTCAAACGCTCCGCAACCCCGAATACCTTTTCTTGGATTAAAGTGACGTGTAAAGTGAATTCATGTCCAGGAGCACGATATTGGACATTGTGGGTACGAAGCGCACACCAAAGGACGGATAACATTGGTCAGTTTATTCAAAAACACCTTTACTTTTTCATCCTCCGAAGATGAGAACGATGTCATCTGTATATTCTGTATTGTCGCTTGAGGAGCCACTCAACAGATGACCACAAGATGTGGTCCCTGTAATCGAAGAATGAGTGGCGCTATGTCCTGTCTAAGTGGGGGCTAACCATACTGCTGGTCAACCACTCGTGGCCAAATTGTTAAGTGTTCAACCACTGACCGCGAGGTCACATGTTCGTGAGACGCGCACTGCTGGTGATTCCTAACAAGCATACAGCAGCTGTACGGTGCTCCTCGGCTTTTTCACCATAGATTGGCTTCTTTGATAGGATGAAATCTCTATTGGATATACCATATCGACAAAGCTTTTGTCAAAAACTATTTGAACATCAGGGTCTCAAAGACCTCTCAGTGTTCTTCTAATTATATTGTCGATCGCAACATTGAATAGGAATAGAGAAATACCACTTTGTTCACAGAAACTTTATAGAGCTTCCCATATGCTCTCACGTGTCCGGAACTTTGAATAAACAGTGAACTTATTGTGTTAAAAAATTTCCGGAGTATTTGTTGGTGTGCAAGTGTGTTAAGGAGGACAGGCAGGTCAGCCTAGCCAAATGCGCCTTGAAAATCCAGGAATACCAAAATTGCGAATCGTTTGAGTTAATACTTGAGTTAATACTTCACGGGTCACAATAAGGCGGCAAGAGATAAGTGACGTCAAGAGTCACGTTACTACTGGAGTCAAGTTGATCCAGCTATAATTGTCACATTCACCGCGGGCCCCTTTTGGGGATCATTGCCGATTTCCGTTATTGCCTGGGTCGTTCCCCTTCACCCACAAGGCGGCAAATATATCAACCAAGGGCTTCCGAGCTTAATCTCATTTTTAAACGATGCGGTAAGGAAGTCCTTTGGTTCAGTACCTCAGTGGCACTGGAGATAGAACGTATACAGTCACAAACCTCAGCGGCTTTAAAATGTTCCAGATTCACTGTTTGGGGTTCCGGTTAAGCTGGTGGCCACGAGAATTGTTCTTTACGTTCCTTTGTACTGGAAATGGTCGCGCCAATTTGCTCTCTTATCGTTTCACCCACCGGTGGCACCATTCAACCGAAATAATCTTCAGACGTTGTCGGCGTTCTTATCTTTTATTTTATCAGCCTTCCGTATCCACTAGGCTTCATGGTCGACGCGCATTCTGAGTTTCACTTGAGGTTTGATGATTCTTACTAGGTTATATCCGGGACCGGTGGGAACATTGCCCCAAGATTCAAGCAGCGCCACCCTGGCTGATATCCTTTATTTGAGAGGACCTGGGAGCGCCAAGCAGTATGCGTGGATCTGGCGATCTTTTAGTATGAATTGACATCAAACGGTGGAGCAGTATGAAGAGAGTATACAGGACATTTCCGATAAGTTCGTTTAACTTTGGGGTCTGCCGACCTCCTCTCCGTCCCTTATGCGACTCTGGAATGTGAAGAGAGAAGCTACTCCGAATGACTGTATGGTTAGAATTCACACAAATAAATCTTTGAAAAGGCTATGAGGACCTTTTGTGAGAATCCCCTTTGAATCGGTCCTCGGCGTCCAAACCTCTTTCAGACACCATCTTATCACAGGGTGATATGTTACGGAATGAATCGCATACGTATAAACAAGATAATTTCCTTTCTGGATGATAATGCGTCGGCCGAGTCTTCACTTCGCGACAGGCGCTTGAACAACGTAATGTTTTTCAACAGCTAACAGGCAGTTTTTACGGATTCAGCGAATCGTTAGATACTCCGTGACTCTCTTTGCCCCACCCAAATTTCAATCTTCTCTAAGAGACCCTTTCACCAACTCTTGTGGATGCCTGTAGGCCTTTGACAAGCCCCTCGCCCCATTGGAATCACGTTGCTTCGTTATTGATGTGCTACTCTATCCTTTTTAACCTGTTTAGAGCATCTCGGGGTCGGAACGCACACAGCATTCGCCTACAGACGTTGAGCACGTTAGGCACACACAATCTGAACCTCTGAAAATCAAATTTTCTTTAAGTGCGAGGAGTCCATTCACGGGATTTGTTGATATATGTCAGGTTACTGGCCTCTAGACCGTGATTTGAAAAGGCACCAGGATATCAGGAACGAAACTATTCATTTTCCCGTGATGAAAAGCAACATGTAATTTTTTAAAATCTTTGAACTGCTGATAACCTTACTATGATACGCTTTTATTATGTCCAGTAACAGTGAAGTAGATGGTTCAAAGTTAGATGAAAAAATAGGTTGGTTTCGTCCGTATTATTCGTATCACTGGGTGAGAAATCCAGTGAGAATCGTTCCTGTAACTTGCTGTGTCGAAATATATTTGGCTTCCGTCATTGCATGGCCTGCCGTTGGTGGCTTTGGAATCTGCGTCTTCCTAACTTCTTCACTCTCTACTTCAAGGATGTGTCAGAAATTCTCTTTTTCCCGGCACGGAATCCGCATATAGATTTCCTTACTCACCGGTAGAGATCGCTACTTCATTTATATCCGGAAGACATGAGATTTTGCTGAATGTTTTTATCTTTCCAGTAGTATACTATGGATCTGATATTTATTGGCGTGTATTTGCTTTGTGATGCCTTGCAATGCTCCAATTTGACGAACCATTTGTTTTCATTCGAGCAGTTTGCCCTTTAGAGGGATAGATCTCCTTCCGGTCTTCACTTCTCACAATTCTACGCGTACGTGGTCACTGGTCTAGTTGTATTTGGTAATGCTTCCTTGTCACCCCGTACAGGGCGTTTTTATCGTGTTGCCGCTACAATACTGAGCAGACTTGTTACATAAGGTAGTCAGCATGTGGTTTGAACTTCGAGTAGAAGGCACGTGGCAGAGGGGTTGGAACTAGAATTCACTCACCGGAATGTCCGTGGTTTGAATCTGACCTCTGTATCTCGACTTCTTTTTAGGCTTGGACAGCCTGGCAGTATCCCAGCCCTTGTGCTTCCTTCTGGTAGCATAGCAGCTAGGCACCGAAGGGGTGTTACAGCTGAACGATTATTTCCATTTATCTTGACAGGAAATATGAGGTTAAAATCTCCGAGACAAACCTCGCACACAGTTCTAGTGCATAGAATCACACATGTAGTGGTTAACGGCCCTATGGAGTCTCTAGTGAACAGAGCAAATTACTAATGTAAGCCAGATACAAAGTCACGAGGAGAAAAATCCAAGTAAATCTTGACTCACAGTTCAAGATAGGAGATTTCGTAGTTCCGTATTCCGTTGAACCACCACACCAAGAATAGTTCTATCTTCCTGGCATTCCAGATCTTCGGTGATCGAAATGTTAATCCACGAGTGTGAATATATTAGTCCAGTGTTTGCAGCTGAAATGTTTGTTCACGTTTAGTGTTAGCAGCGGTCAAATATAGCCAACCAGCGGTCACAACAACAGTCACTCAGCAAAAGTCTCAAAGTCACGTTGGAGCCAACGAGCGGGTGGTAGTGGTTGTATTTCAGTAAAGCAAACTTTTGTACAGCGATGTGACAGATAATGATGGAGAAAAAGATGATACTGAACATGAAAAAGAGCAGTTTACAAGTGCTACACATACACACACCACAAACTCACATATACCGGTTTGATTGAGGCTACGATCAGTCATGGCAACATGCTCAGATATGATTATTTGAAAACGCTAGCTTAGACAAAATGGATCGGTTTGGAGAATGGAACATTTACCCAGTTTTACGGCTGCCTAATCCACCGCACTAATGTAACACTGCACCAATTCCCTAGCAATTTGAACTCAGTCATCCACAAGTCCAGAAGTTTTACTGAATAAAAGAGGTCGCCAAATACACAAATCTGCCACATAATGACGCAGTGTCCCTCAAAAGGAGATCTTTTCTTCATTTAAGCGACATATCCTACTACTCAATAAGCCTCTGGGAATTCAAATGTATATCACCAAAAATCGAAGTGCTTGATGAATCGTTGAGCCGTTGCTGTCCTTTCGTCATGCCATTGACCTTGGTTGTCGAAGTTGTCAACTTCATCCAACGCACTCGAGTGCATGACACAAAAATGAACTAAACCTTGTGAACAAATTCGTTGTCCTTAATCAGTGGGTTTTCTTGTATGCAAGGTCTAGGCAATAAGTTGGGTGTTGGGAGGACCATGGGTTAGATGCGGTTCCCAGCACTGACTTTTTTGTGAATTCCGTCTAAACCTGGATAATCTCTTTATCATGGCAGTTTTTCATTATCTTGCCTCTTTAGCCACCGCACATGGAGTTAGCTAGTCTAATCCGAGTGAATAACATCAACGGTTGTCGACTCTGTGGACCGAATTTCTCAATTGTTTCAAAAAAGTTGGCACTCACAAACCATCAATTACTGTTCATCTCTGATGGTGAGGACTTCTCGGTAAGTTACTATGTCGTGAGTTATCGTCTTCGACAGCGTTCGTTTGGGGGCATCCCTCTCGACGAATATTCTCAGGGATAATGTGTTGTTTCTTATGGGGACACTATTTGATGCAACCCAAACGTTCTATTAACTCCTGTCTTATTCACAAGGCGAATCACTTTATTACTCGCTGAGGGAACGATATCTCAGATTTGACATCTCTAAAAGAAGTGGAAGAATGTAGCAAAACATGAGGTAGCACATCCAGACGTTTATAGTACACGGTGGCTAGTGATCACACATAAGCTAGTGTCAGAAGGGAGTAGGAGGGTCATTCATAAACCTGGGTGTTGAACGACTGGAGATTTTGAGGAGGAACAGGAAGTGTAGAGTAGTGTGATTCTGGATAAAAAGAGTCAGTCAACATGCGAACATGTGATATATATTCTGTGATTGGGGGATGAGTGGCGCTTTATCCTGTCTAAGGGCGAGTTACTCCCACTGCTGATCAGCCTTTCTTGGCCGATCGGTTCGGGGGCTCAAAACTGCCTGAGTTTCGTGAAATATGCACTGCTGATGATTTTGAATAAAGATGAGGTAGCTGTACAGTGCTTCCCGGCTTTTCAGCATTGATCAACCTCACTTACAGGATGGAATCTCCGTTGAGAAACAGAAAAGGCAAAAACCATGCACTTCTTCGGGTATCATCACGTGGTGCGTGTGGGGGAGTGAAAAGGCTAGTTACATGAGTGAGTGACGAACAGGGTGGGACGGACAAAACGAGTTCATAAGAACGTTATCCGTAGTAGTAACACGGAATAAAAGAAGGAGGACAACATACCATTGATGGATAGTTGATTGGAGTAATAGGCCAGAGTAAGGGAGGCAGCGAAGCGTACAGCCATCTGTTATTGGTCATGGAGTGGATACTACGACAAGGGGAATCACTTCAGTCATCCTACCAGTATTTCATCATGAGGCGAATCGGGACCTTTAGTTAAGTAGTAGCTGAGACAGAGAGAGATCTGGTAACGTGAAAGAAATTCAGCGTTCTCAGAGACCTGATTTACGCCTGATTTGAAATGACATAGACAGGGAGTTTATTGATAAACAATGAAACAAGGAGAACATTAGTCATATACTGCAAAATGGTGCTTTTTAACGACCATTTTCTAATGTTTTCCTGAGATGGCTGTAGTGATTAGAGCGCGATTTTACTGACCGGTAGGTCCGTCGTTCGAACCCGACCCCTGCCTCTTGACTTCTCCTATCTAGGCTTGGGTAACCTGACAGTATCCTAGCCCTCGTGCTTCTTTCGGGTAGTATGGCACCAGCAGGGTGTTACAGCTGAACGTTTATTATCTATTTTATTCATGCTTCCCTGAAACAGCTGTTTTATAAGATAGCTCAGCGGTTGATCGGAAGGTTTGAGGCTAATCTGATACCGTCCTGGTTATTTGTTAGGTTTGGGCAACCTAACACTTTTAAATACAGAGACTGGAAGCTATCTGGAAGCTGTCTGGAAGCTGCACGTCGACAGAGTGCTGCAGCTGAACCACCTGATATGATTTTTTTGAGAGGAAAATATATCGGTTCATTTCAATTCCATGCGTAGCTCATCTGCTCCTGTTGTGTACGACGAGGGTCGGAGTGCAACGACAATCAGAATGACAATGGAAAAGACTGAGGGCCCGAAAGCTAGGTTTTGTTCATCCAAAACTTTGACACTGAGAGCTGAAAACGGAAGAAAGTGATTTAGCAATAAATGGTGAAACGTTTGAAAAACGGAGCAAATATACAACATTCACCCCCCGCAGAGATGAAAGTTCTCAAGAGTTTAATTTATAATTGAATAATGTGAGGCCTCTCTGTTGCGCAGGACATACGGCCGTGTCCGCTGTTGTTGTATAACCAGTGGGTGTTCAGAAAAATTCGACATTTCACTTTCCGAAGCAGAGTCAGATAGTTCCGGCTTAATAAATGAATCAGCGTTGGACTCCGGTTGCTGCTGTTCGGATGCTGGAGCACATCCGAAATCTGCTGAAGGGGCCAGGTGACGTAGGGAGACCGTTTCTTCCATGCCGTTAGAGTGTCTGACATATGCATACTCAGGGTTACATTCCAGGAGCTCAACCTCTTCGACTAGGGGGTCGTACTTTGAAGATCGTGTGTTTCGCCGCATCAGAACTGGTCCTGGCGAAAGCAACCACTGTGGCAAGGACGTACCGACTGCGGATTTTCGATTGTGATGAAACATCCGCTCGTGTGGAGTGGCATTGGTGGCCGTGCACAACAAAGAACGAATCGAGTGGAGAGCGTCTTGTAAAACGGTTTCCCAGTGACTGATGTGAAGACCCTTTGATCGTAATGAAAGCGTAATAGCCTTCCACAAAGTTCCATTCAATCTTTCCACCTGGCCGTTCCCCCTTGGGTTATATGGAGTGGTCCGACTGGTGGCTACACCTTTTTCATGAAGAAATCGTTTGATCTCATCCGAAATGAATGATGAGCCACGATCCGAATGCACGAAACTTGGCAGGCCAAATGTGGCGAACAGTGGCACAAGGCATGATATCACCGTAGACGAACTGATATCTGGACATGCATAGGCGAACGGAAAACGGGAATATTCGTCTACGATCGTCAGTAGATATTTGTTTCGAGTCGTCGAAGGCAGTGGTCCCTTAAAGTCAATGCTTAAGCGTTCAAACGTTTGTGTGGCTTTAATGAGGGTACCGCCAGATGACTTGAAGAAACGTGGTTTTAGTTCCGCACACACTTGACACTGCTTAATGACGAGTCGGATATCCTCTAGGGAGAATGGTAGATTCTTGGCACGAACGAAATGCATCATGCGTGTTGCTCCAGGATGACACAGGGTTGTGTGTAAGCGTTTTAGATCCAGGTTAGATGAAGTGTTCGCACAGACACTTCGAGAAAGCGTGTCAGCAGCTTTGTTTTCTATGCCTGGTCTGTAGGTAACGTCAAAAGAAAAAGGCGATAACTCCATCCGCCACCGTTGGATTTTGTCATTTTTTATTTTCCCTTTTTGTTGTGTTGAGTACATGAATGCAACGGATCGCTGATCAGTTATAATTTTGAAATGGGTCCCGAGTAGGTAATGCCTCCATTTGCGCACTGCTTCGACAATTGCGCAAGCTTCTTTCTCAATAGCGGAATGGTGTTTTTCGCTGGCAGACAGTGTACGTGAGAAGAATGCGACCGGTCTGCCATCTTGATTGAGTGTAGCAGAAATCGCGACATCAGATGCATCAGTTTCGAGCACCAAAGGTATTCTCGGGTCGATAGTGACCAAGGCTGCATCCATCAACTCCTTTTTCAAACTTTCAAATGCTTTTATAACAGATTCAGGGACAGGAAAGGTTGTATTGTGAGTGATTGGGTAGATCTTATCCGAGAAACGGCTTATCCAACGAGAATAGTACGCGAACAATCCTACCACTCGTTGTTGAGACTTGATGTCGTTCGGAACGGGCAGTTCTTGCAATACCTTGAAGCGTTCAGGGTCTGGTTTGATGATACCTTCAGTAATTTCATAGCCGAGGAGTCTGAGCTTAGTGGTGGAAATCGTGCTTTTATCGTGATTTAACTGAAGGCCGTACTTTTGTGCTACGGTGAGGAAAAGCTGGAGGTTTCGATCATGTTCTTCTTGATTCTTTCCACAAATGGTAACATTATCCACATACGCATATGTCCCGGTAAGTTGTTCGGCGCGTATTATGTCATCCATTACCCTTTGAAAACAGGCTACCCCATTCGTTACTCCGAAAGGTATTCGACGGAACTGATAGAGGTTGTTGCAAGCCTCAAAAGCCGTGTAGATTCTGTCGCTTTCTTTAATGGGTATCTGATAATACGCACTTTCAAGATCAAGCGTGCTGAAAATACGATATTGAGCTATTTTAGTACTTAAATCTTCAAGTCTGGGGAGCGGATAAGCGTCTAGTTGCGTAAATCGGTTTATAGTTTGACTATAGTCAACCACCATTCGCTTCTTCTGTCGTTCATTTGTCGTGACGAGCACTTGCGCTCTCCATGGGGACTTCGAGGGTTCAATGATGTGTTGGTCAAGTAAACACTTTACTTCAGAAGCAATGAAGGCCTCGTCGTCTGCAGAATGTCGCCTGGACTTTATGGCGATTGGCTTACACCTTGGTTTAATATGCTCGAACAAAGTGGGAGGTTCAATTTTGGCAGCAATTAGACCACAAAGGGAAAAAGAAGGTTTGTCACCGTTGAATGGGATTTCCAGGGACTTATGAAGCTTAAGAAAGTCATGTCCTAGGAAAATATCTGCACAGAGGTCATGTAATACTGAAAACTTGAAAACTTGCAACGTTAAAAAGCAATGTCCAAGAGTAAAGCTTTTTGGATGGATAGATGCCAAAGTTATCTCAGATGACGATGGTAGCACGGACCACTTGTTACGACGGACTACCTTTTCGGAAGTGAGACTGAGCTACCTGTTACGACGGACTACCTTTTCGGAAGTGAGACTTTCTGAGCTACCAGTATCACCAAGAGCTCGAAGCGGGACGCCATTGACTTTCACATCGGTGACTGCTTCTTTTAGACACTCGGGAGCTGCTGCAGTGACGCAAGATAGCGTACTTAAAACAGATAAGGTGTTCCGCGGACCAGTAGATCTGCATACCTTTTGAAAATGCCCTTTCTTCCCACAGTTTTTGCAGGTCGCATCTTTAGCGGGGCATTTATATCTCGGGTGACGAGCATAGCCACAGAAGAAACATGAAGACCCCACACTGGCAGCAGTCGCCTGCTCGTGCGATGACGTTTGAGAACGTGGGGACTTTGGCGGGTCGTTCGATACGGTGGCACAGGGAAGTTGAGTGTTCGGCAAAAACGACAACGACTGTTTTTGCGCTAGTTCGAGGGACTTTGCATGGTCGTACGCGGTTTTAAAATCCAGCGACTTATGTTCCAGCAGTCTCTGGCGTATAGTATTGGAATAAAGTCCGCTAATAAACGCATCTCGCAACGCTTCATCGGTATGCTGTTCTGCACTGACGGCTGTAAAGCGGCAGTCTGGCAATAAACTGCGAAGCTTCTGCACAAACTGATCAAGGTTCTGAGCTCCGTCCTGTTTACAAGTGTTTAAAAGATGCCGTGCAAAAACTTCATTTTTCGGCTGTACGTAAATTTCTCGCAAGGTTTCGATGGCTGATTCGTAGTTTTTGCAGTCTTTGATGAATCGGTAAACACTAGGGGAAACGTAAGTAAACAAGGTTTTCAGTTTATCTGGTGAATGAGAACCGATTGACTCTAGGAAGTTTGTGAAAGTACAAAACCAATGCTCCCAGGTATCTGCCGAGTCTTGAGTATTGGGGTCGGTATCGAATCGTTCAGGACGTAAGAATCGATCCATTGTTCGAAGAAGACTTTTTTGGATGAATAAATTGTTGTGTACCACGATGGTCGACAATCAGAATGACAATGGAAAAGACTGAGGGCCCGATAGCTAGGCTTTATTCATCCAAAACTTTGACACTGAGAGCTGAAAACGGAAGAAAGTGATTTAGCAATAAATGATGAAACGTTTGAAAAACAGAGCAAATATATAACAGCTCCGTTTCCATTTCTTTCCTCAACTTTCGATCTAATGATGTTTTTTCGGTTGCAAACCTGTGGTGGTCCTCTTTCGGACTTCAGGCTTGTTTTCCATGAAGCGAACTGACTTGGTAGTGAGTTCTGCCGCAAGGACAATGGTTTGTCCACCACTGTTGTGTGGTTGCATGTAGAGTGACGTGGTCGAACGGGGCCTTTTCACGAGCTAAGCTTGCTACAAAGATCATAGTTTAGTTGTGATGGGGTGTTCACGAATACACTTGTCATGCAGCATTTCTATCATTGTTTAACACTGGGGTGAATCGTTTTCGATCAGCATTAAACAATCTCATTGGCTCTTTATCATTATACATACTCAGGCAACAGATGGGTGGTACTTCCGACTGCCCCCATAATATGCTGGCAGAATCGAGCGCTGCTGACTCCTGAATAGTTTTGTACTGTGTGATCATTCTGCTTCCGTCGTTTCTCATTTGGCTTGCTGTGATTAGCGATTACTGGTGACTCGAGCTGGCGTTTTTATTCAGGTAACTTGTTCACGCTAGATAATCGTTTGCTTTCTTCCATATCTAAAGCAGTCCTATGTCTTCCGTTTTAGCTACCCTATAAAGCCATTGATGGGGTCCGACTTCTTGACACAGTGGCCGAGCGCAGGTATCCTCAATCCGGCTTGAATGGACATACGTTGTCGCTTCAGACGAAAAGCTTTTGCATCTACGAACTCACAGTTCTCAATGGAAACGAAGCTCGAGCCCTGTTGTGCTCAATAGAGGCTCTAGCTAGTGTTGGTAAGTCGCGCGTTATCTTTATGTAGCTAAGAAGTGGCGAGGATACACTATATTTTTCGAGCGAATGTGAATTTTTTCCCAGCACGGTTATCGCAGAATCACAGTCGCTATATTTTGCAGGAAAGTCACACTGTATGGCCAATGTGACGCATGAGAGTTTTAAATTTGTTTGGACCTTCAACCTTGATAGAGCTAATGTAAGCTATGGAGGTACGGGACCGATGAGTCCATCGCTTTGTACCGTCTGGTGAATGACGATCAGCATCAAAGACCGTAGGTCGGTGAATATGATCCATTTCTTTATTCGACGATCAGATTGTTGCGGAGGTCGAGATTGCAAAGAAGACAATAGGAGGACGTCATGTACGACTTAATCGTCCAACGACGATAGTACGTGAGCTGAAAATATAGAATAAAAATGACCAGTTAATGGTATATGAAAAGTATGGTTTTTTATAGTCATGACACCGGTCAACTGATCCGAGGAGGGTGTGAGAGTGAAAGGTTCTCCGAAAATAATAGAATCTCAACTCATCCACAGAAACGTCGTCTCGAACAATGGGCTGATCCCCATCAACCCAACGTCTGAAAGGGCCAAACGATCCCCAGTGGAACGACGATACCATTGACAACGGAAGTGCAGAGTGCCTTTCATTGATTCAGCACAGAAAGCACCTGATCCACACGAAAGAAGGTGGGCAGTTTCTCGAGGCATTAATCCAAAGCATGTGAAATGCGAGAGGAATACCGGTAAAACGGAGCGCCTCGTTTTGATTCGCACTTTCAAAAAGATACAAAACATCATGCAAAGGTCACCGGAGTATTAATCTAGTGGACATAGCCTCCAAGGTGGTCTACGATATTGTCCTAGGTAGTTGATCCATCATCGTAGGAACCGGATTCGCGAGAATCAAGCTGTATTTCGTCCTGGTCGGGATTGCATAGGTCATATTTTCACTTTGCTACAAGTACTGGAGCTGCATCTCTCCTTCCAACGATCAACCAAAATAGTCTTTCTGGATCTTCGATCCGATTTTGACTCCGTTGTTTGTCAGACACTGTGGCAATGTCTGGCCATGAAATGCGTCCCTTCTAAATTGTTGCCTCATAAAGGCTTTAGACGCCTCCCCCGTGGGCGCATACGTGTCTGCGGTAAATCCTCTCCTGATTACGCCCCATTCTTTGGTGTCAGACAGGGGTGTTTTCAGTAGCCTTTTCTCTTTATCTTCACAATCGATGTACTGCTTGAATCTAATTTACCTGCCTCTGGCACTTCTGGGATCGGAATGCTCACGGATATTGAGTACGCTGATGGTATTTCTCTCCTTGGATCGGATCGTTTGGGAATGCAGTTTATTTTTTAAAAAAAACAGGTAATTCTACTGCCTAGTTTGGTATGGATTGCTGAAAGATTTGGTGGGATCGAACCCAGACCTCATGCTTATGGGTAAACTGATCAATGTATTCATACAGTTACATAAGTCCTGGCGGACTGACGAAGGACGAAATCAATTCCCGAATAGGAAAGACCAAGGCAGCGTTTTCTAACATCCGACATTTGTGGCACCGACGTGACATCAGCTTGGCTGTCGAACGCAAAATGTACAATACAGGAGTCCGATCTGTATGAAGCAGTAACAGAGAAGTACGAGACCGGAATCCACGTAGTTATTCCAGAAATAGCGACAGTCAGCGATTGATCCGCGCTACCTATAGTGAATGACGATGTGGTCCGTTTATTCAAGGTTCGATCCAATCGGGACAGCATGTGGCCAAGCAGCTTTGATTGCCTCGGAATCTAGTGTTGCATAAAGACAGGCGTCTGTCATTGCCCGTGCGTCGCGATTCTCTTTGAAGACAACTGTGCACTTGGCATCGGCAGTAGCCTGTTTTCACCCATCCGCCCTGTTGTATGCAACAAGTAAAGGCAGTTCGGCTGATGGCTCCGGGTGATGGCAGTATAACATGAGGTTATCTGCAATTGTGCGACTCATGGTTTACGTGGACCGGATACCCAGGTCTAGACAGGAGGACGATTAGAGTGCTGAGCCAAATCCTGTGGCTCAAAAGCCTAGCCATAAGGCAATGGTGGCTGGCCTAATACCTCCAGAACGATCTACATCTTTAAGGGGCCAGTCATGGTACATATTCCGACCCCCAACCTGGGAGAACAGGAAACTGTTGATCAGGCCTCCACCCACTGACCGATCCAGGATTAAACCTTGTTTTAGATTAAGGTTTTGTGGGTGACATCAGCATCGTCCATTCAACTGCCTTCCATTGAGGACACCTCCCTGGTGGAGTTAAGGTAGGTATGGTAGGTCGTGATAACGTTTTCGGTTTTCATCCTGAGATGTCTGTAGTTAGCAAATTCTCCCTATGCCTTAGAGACATGAATCGTCAGAAACCTCCAGCCTTCGGGTATCATGTACTCACAGAATTCATGTTCCGCGAATGTTAATCAGGACCGGATGGATGGTTATGTAAACTAACCTTAGTTCTTTTTCGCAAGAGGAAGTTCAATCCTAGAAGGCTTGCCTGACACTGTTGACCCACCGTCCACTTTGTCTTCTGTGGCCTGCCGGTTGGCCGGGGTATCTGAAGTCGGCAACTTGGGGGACTGGGCAGGCACGTCGGTGCAGGTGGAGAAGAACTTGGTCTTGGACTTGTTCATTTCCAATCCTACTAATGCTGCGTAGTTAGTCAGATTATTTGATGCATATTGGAGTTCTGTCAAGTTATCACTCAAAAACCTGTTTCATGTCAGGTTGGACGCTAGACTATCCGTTGAATTACCGTTTGAAGCAACAATCGATCGCAACGTTAGAGAGTATAGGCGAAGATGGACAGATTTGTCGTACACCAGGCTCATTCTCGAACTCTTTAGTCTCCTTGTGGTGTACACGGACCCCAGCTATCACCAGGTGGTAATAGGTCGTGATTAGGCTTACTGGCTTCGCGGGGACACCATTTAGTGGGTGAAGTGTCCAACGTGACTCACGATTAATCGAATCAAACGCGGATCAAAAGCTGATGAAGCATATTGTGATAGGCTGCATGAATTTGAACCGATGTGCAAAGAGAATATTTGGTTCCCACAGCTTCTTTAGCCATATGTGTGTACCCGGTGTTCGGAAAAGATGTTGTTGCAGAATGGACGCGAAAATTTTCGATAGCATTATCCATAAGACCAATTCCGCGGTAACTATCACACATCCGTCTACCGTCCTTTGTTGAGGATCACAAGCTGCTATGAGTGTTCATAGAACAGCTCCTGTAGATGCCGGGAAGTAAACAGCTCAGTGGTTAACACGCAAACTTGCTGACCGGAACGTCCGCGGTTTGAACTCTACCGCACTTCGATTGCTCATGTCCATGTTTGGGCAGCCTGACGGTATCTTAGCCTTCGGATAGCGTGGCAGCTAGGCACCGGAAGCGTTTTATAGCTGAACGATAGATAGATAGATAAATTGTTTGATTAAGTAATTGGCTGACTTGATTGATTGATTAACTTTTGTGCACAATACATTATGCCACGTAAGTGCAGTCATGCCGGAATTCAAGGCCAAGTGGGATGAAGATCTAGAAGTTTTCCCACCCCCAAAGGTAGCTCATTTTGAGCCTACCCTCAGGTCTTAACTTGGCCAAATACTGAGTGTTTGATCGTGACGTGACCTTCTTCCCGTCATTATCTGGAGTGGATTCGTACTATTTTCACGAAGCCGTCACGACTACATCATAAGATGCTGCATTGGGAGGATACGTTAATCGTCGGCGTGAAAGTTACATGGGCCGTGCAATGAATTGTACAGTTACACGAGATTTTCCTCCCACCAGCAGTGTACTTTTTGTTCAATGTCTAGTAGAGCCCAGTCAATAAATAGGTTTTTAGGGGCTATTTTTTCTCTCAGATGTAATACCCTTCCGGTGCCTAGCTGCCATGCTACCCGAAGGAAGCACGAGGGCTGGCATACTGCCAGGTTGCCCAAGCCTAGACGGGGGAAATCGAGAGGCAAAGGCTCGTGGTTCGAACCCGACCTTTGCCCCTTGACTTCCCCTGTCTAGGCTTGGACAACCTGGCAGTATCCCAGCCCTGGTGCTTCGTTCGGGTAGCATGGCAGCTAGGCACCGGAATGGTGTTGCAGCTGAGAGAAAAAAGAGCTCTTAAAAACTTATTTATTGACTTGGAAATCAAGCGAGACGCGTGCGAATTTGCTAGGAAACCATAACCGCTTGTTTAGTTCCAACCGATCCCCATATAGCAAGATGCAAACATCTTTTTCAGATGTTGGTCTGCAATATCCATTCTTCTACGGAGAAAAATTTCCTGGTGCTCAGAACAAATCTGCTGCAATCGATAGTCGTTCCGATCTGGCGGAGGCGTTAGCAACAGAGAAGTGGCGCGTATCCAGAGCCAATGAAAATTATTCGGTCAGTATTTGTTAACCTCGTTGTATCGACGTACACACCATTGTATTTTGGAACACAACTACCATAAATTTAGGTGTGTTCAAATGGCTTTGTTTCCTGCATTTTCTCAGACGTTTGCGTTTTCCGATTTGAAAAGCCAGTACGGCAACCAATGCCTGTACCCGCAATCTGTGTTATCAAGGTGCTGGGTGCTGGCAATTTGGAAGGAATTCAAATTGGATTAGAACACTCTCGAGGTTGTGTGGCAACTGTGTTTACAGTCGATTGGGTGTTGGGCATTCGTACCTCCCGGTCTATACACCAGAATTGATGAGTGCTACTCAGTAGTGTCCACGTCGGCAACTACGTCCCAGCTGACGTCGCAATTTCATTGGTTCTTGACCTTAAAGCCATGTCTCCCTGTTTTTGAAATCTACGCCGTAACTTTTCCTGCTTCGTTACAAGAATTTCCAAGTAATCAGTTTCCTGTGGTTATGACCCTTGCCGGATGTCTAGATCTCATTCGAATCAGCGTCGACTCACCAAGTTCTTTGGACAGAATTTTCGCACACAGTTTATTGGCGTGCAACCCAACTGGAGTGAACCTCATGCTTGTAGCTTTCAGTTCTCTTCTGACTAACCAGAACGATTGCATAAGGAGGTGACCACTATTAAACCTACTGATATGCTTTGGATTCACCAGCTCTTCACTGTCTATCACTTGGTTCGATCGCATTGTCGATGTGAACCAGTAATGCACGCGTCAGTAAAATTTACGGTTCAGAATACTCAACTAAAGTTGGTGTGAAATTTGGCTGTTTCGTATATAAAGGTAATGCAGCGTTCGTTGTGCCCGTAGTTGCCTGATCTCTCGCAGTAACGCTCTGTGCTAATCGGAACTGCTCAGCCGTTGTCCTACTATCCAGTGAACCAATCTCGGTTCCACTGGATAGCTTTCAATAACTCCGTTAACCTTCCCGGCTTCACTGGTACAACGAGTAGACGCCTTTTGCAAGCTAACGTGTTAGTTTGTTCTCTTTAATCACAATGTAACACCGTTACAGATGAACCACCAACAAACGAAGCCGACTCGCATCACGCCCCTTATCTCCCGGTTGATACTTTGAACAACAACATTCTACTGAATGGTTTTTTTTATTATTTCGTCTTTCGAACGAATGTCAGAACCGTGAAATTCGAAGTACTGGCGGCTACCTCGATAATCTCTGTCTGACTACTTAGTCAAGATTTATCGGTCGTCTACTTGTCGTGTCGTGCGTAGCATGAAGTCAGACGTGATGCTGGAATGAAAAAATCCGCACGCGGTTTTCTTCGCAGAAATGATATTGCCCTGAAATACCATCCAACTGTGTGCATTGCGTTGTTGGCCACAAGGTTTATGGCCTCAAAGCTTGTCCACTTTACAACTTATATTTTTCCTTATTTGTCCCTTGATTTGTTTAGATGGCACTAACTTATTGCTAGTGGAGAAGCTAAGCCACCTCCATCACAGCTTCTGTTCTTCTCCTTGTCAGTTTAAATAACTTATGTCTTAGTGCAACTATTTGTTTTGAAACTGACCAATTGCTTTCCAAGTATTTTCATGTCCTATGTCCTTGTTCCTTTCACTCTGTATAGGTATTTGACACCTCTACCTGTTTTAACGAAGTTGAACCTTTTAACATCTCGATGTGATGGATAGGGCATCAGATTGCGACAGTTTATCACTTGTATCAAACTTTCTAAGTACTATGTTCCCGTGTGTTCGGGAATATGGAACGTTGTGATATGGCTCATTTGGACCCCATGGATCCCATAAAATCGCTCCTTTTTGGCCCTTTCTCGTAAAATTACGCCTCATCGAACCAGTCCAAATCCGTTTCTCTTTGAAACTTTGTGCAAGCGGTCTTTTGGATCTAGGTTTTACTATCTTCCGGCAACACTCGAATAGCGCATTTTTGGATCTAGGTTTTACTATCTTCCGGCAACACTGGAATAGCGCATGAGTTTTCATAAAGGAAACTACTCACAGGGTTGCCGAAAACTCTTCGACAACCCACGACCGGTTTCTCCCCTCTTGGGGCTCATCAGGTAGGCGCAGTCCCCGAGTTTCCGTCAACCTTATGTTCTACTTGAACCCAAATTGGACTGTTTTCGAGAAATACACTCATTTGCAAATCAATTTGGTTTTCACGAGAGACTCAACTGAATCTTATGAGTTTGTTGAATTCTTGCTTCCTGGTAGATTCAGCCCTTCTTGATGGCTTCTCGAACCTATAAACCCTCCGACTTCCTACTACCTCTCCTTTTTGCTTTGGCAGATATGTTCCTCTTATGCCCGTGACACGATTGTACCAACAGACATCACAGATGCTTTGATTCGAGAAAGTGCCGGTTTTCGCCGAGGCGGCCGCTTTCCTACGCTGGTCTACTACCATGTTCCCAGACATGTAAGTAATTTACTCATAAATCTAGCAGTAGAATGGAACCACACAAATTCACCCGTACTAGCTTTGATCCTTGTCTCCCGTTTCCGTCCAGACAGCCCTTTTAATCTCTAGTGAACCCGTCTTTCAATCTCCGACATCCTATCCGGCAGCGAATCTAACATCTAATGCGAGTAAGAGTCCATCAGTTGTTGGAAGTCCCCAGCACGCAACTCTGGGGGGAGGACCCGTCCTTTCACCAAACAGCTCGTCTGCGCCAGTTTTCTCAACTGGAAATCGTTGTCGGGCAGATGAACAGCTGCTGGCTGCCATTTTACCGGATCGATATCGGGGAGCTATTCTGGATGTACGTGACCAGCCTAACGTTAAGAAGAATACTTCACAAGGTAAGCAGTGTTTTCTATATTGGATGGTTTATTTTGTGCCCAATTTACCTGTGACAGGCGCGGCGTTTTGACGTTTTTGAGAAAAGACAGAAAAGCTACTGTAAACTTAGACCTTTGCTGACACTCCTACTCCACTCCTCAGAACTCTTTTGCGTCTCTGCTCTTGAAACGCGATAGGTCTCTAAAAGTGACCAGGACCTTTGAGGCGCTTGAAATGACCCACATACGTGGTCTCTTCAGAGGTGGCAAAATGCCAATGTCGGATTTCATTTCTTTTATTCGCCTTTGAGGTTCAGCCCCAACGTAACTCGACCAGATGTGACCGATGATCTTACGCTCTAGACCAACACTTCGTCATACTAACCGCCGAATTTATATCCTCTGCATTTGTCACTATTGCTTGCTCTTCAGTGGTCGCCGCTGAATCCGAACCTAACTACCCGCAGTGGCGAAGAATCTGTCGGTCGATGGAAGCTCCAACCCAGGTCAACACAGTATTCCGAAAGTTAATCGAAGGTTAGCTACTCAAGGTTTTAATTTCCAAACGATCAATGGAGTTGTTTTTTGCTGCTATATACTAACCCGCAGAGATGTCGGTTCATCGTTTTCCGATATCTCAGACGTGATATTACATGTATCTGCCAGATCGTTATACCCCTAGCATATTTTCTTCTGGATTGACGCATCGATTCAATAAAACCACAGCACTACAGCATCACTTCACCTCACTCTGTATCCTCTCATAAGGCATCCCACTCTGTTTTTTAGTGTGTTTAGCTCCTGGCCGTTCCACTCGTTCCGGGACAAGCTCCCTCGGTGCATTTACGACCGGTGCTTTGACTGACTCATTGAATGCGCTTGCTACAGTGGCTATGGGGCCATCAGGAGCCATAGTTCCTTCAGATTCCTTGAATGGTGAGGGAGCATCAAGGGTGTTTTGGGACTCAGATGGTGACAATATGGACCGTTTACCTGCTCCAGAAGTATCATCAACTACCGTGGCTACGAACCCTCAAATGGCACACAACATGCGCCGTATCGGTGCTTGGCTCACTCTGGTCCGTGAAGCCCTGGCTGCCGCTGTTGCCGGAGCGACAGCGTTGGATGCTCGCGATGCTTTTGCTCAACAACAGTTACAACAAGAGCAATTAATATTGACCCGGAACTATAAGGATCAGCAAGTGAAATCCGCGCGAACCCAAAAACCGCATGCTGTCCGAGAAGAGGCCAAATTACGTGGTTCATTCGTGCTTGTACAGAGTCAACACGGATACGATCGTGCTCTGGTCGTCGCCGGTCTTATTCAAGTTATCCTCAATCCCGCCGCCCGGACTCTTTCAGGGTAAGTTGTTATGTAATTCAGGATGTGCGTAGGCGTTTACTCTAGCCTAGCTCTTAACTTTAGGCCCCTCCGGTCCTATAAACCAGCTTTCACATGAAGACCGTTTTGGAATTTCAATTGACGGAATGTCTCGATGTTTGTTCGGGAGCTCTATGAGATAGCAACCATTAATAACGTCAGAGGCCGATGAATTCTTCTCCTATTGGTGTCTATGTTGTTCAGCACGATTTTGTGGAGCATCCATCGCCTCATACCTTTCTTCACCCTGTTCTCCTTCCAGTCCGTCTTGCCTCTGTGCTTTCCGCCTTCGGATTTGCAGCCACTCTCAACGACCTATACACTGACAAGTTCGGGGCAGGCTTTTTATATAACGTCTGACACCTCTTCGGTTCGAATGCTTGTGGGATGACAACTTGGCTTTCCTGAAACAGAGCCGACAAAATTTATTGATATTTCAAGTAACTCCCGTGGAATGCAGCACCGACGTTGCTCTCACTGATGGTTGTAATCGATGGGTTCGGGGACACAAGTGGTTCCAAGCCGTCCCTAGTATTTCTTTGGTGCACTTTGATGCTCGATTGCTCAAGTGGTTAAAGCGCGATTTACTGACCCGGAAGGTCCGTGGTTCGAACCCGACCTCTGCCTATCGATTTCCTCTGTCTAGGCTTGGACAACCTGGCAGTACCTAAGCCCTCGGGTTTCCTTTGGGTGGCATGGCAGCTAGGTACTGCAAAGGTGTTACAGCTGAATAATGATGCACTGAACCAGTTACTGGTGATTTCACCGCTTAGGTATACTCTTGACATACTCTTGCATAGCCCAAATATCCACTGAAATCCACCTGTTTTTCACACTTTTTTTTATAAAAAAAACCGCACGAATATGATGATGATTCCATACTGTGTACTGTAGACTGAACCGATGACGAATCAACTAAGTTCGTATAATCTTTCGCAAACCTCCTCCTGGCATGTCTCTAGTCACATCTCACCCCCGGTTACTGTCATGCTGAACTAGGTGGTTAGGTTAGGTCTAATCCAATAGCAGGCCTTTTTTGCTTCTGAGTAGCTGGTGCTGGTTTTCCTCTTCACCTTTTTGGTTTCTGCGTTCATACACACGTAGCGAATTTTCACTGCATTCCCATCCATCATATTCCATATCATTCGTCTTTGGAGATGTGCATTACTTCCATACATTGTACTCTATTCATTTTCCTCACCAGCTTCCCTTCTTTGATCGAACACACATGGATTCGATCTGGTCACCCATTTTCAGAACGATATCGGAACGCCTCTCTGGGTCCCCGAAATCAGAAAACACAGGCACCCATCTTCTTGCTGTTTTTGGACGGAGTTTGGCAGGTACACAGAGGAGCTATTATATGCCATGACTATTGCCTCTTCACTAGCGATCGTCTACCACTGCATTTGTCCCACGTCTGTTGCTCATGAATATACATGCTAATGTTGATTACGGGGAATTACTGGATAACTACGAGACATTCAGTGAAATACACATTGTTAGCGCCTTCTCGGAAATTAGCATTTCGGTCATTTGGTGTTTTTGGTAACCATACAATACGATAATCAAAACGCTGCGATAGTTTAGACAGAGCTCTTCTTGCAGCCGATGGGCGTGATGGTACTGCCCTGTGTCGATGCTGTTTGGCGAACTGTTTTCTCGCCTCGCACACACTTGTCGTCGCAACACCCTAAGTTTTCTTATATGTTCGAAGGAAGAACCCCTGTAGTTTGTGTTTTCTTGTTTTTGTTTGGAGAGTAAAATGCCAATATCCCAAATTAGAGGCTTGGAGTGGCGAACCATATAAGTTGGACGATGGTATCTTTCCGGGCGACAGCGTGAGCCATTTACCATCTGCAGTATGATTATCTCTTCTGGTTCTATTACAAATTTATACTGCTGCTAGAGAGGAAACCGCATGAACGCATGAGCTGGTACGTGTCAGAAACGGACGAAGGTTTCAGACAATTTCTGACCTACCCCGTTTATCTTGTATTGGGAAGACTCAGCGGTGGCGGTACATTCCTTAGACACGGGACATAGAATTGATCTGGAGAATGTGGAAGTTTTAAGACAGGGTCTGCGATTCACACCACGGCGGCTGATAGCCGAGGCGGTGGAAATTACTAAGCATCACAGCGTGAATAGAATCGAGGGCGTGGAACTGGGAGCGTATGGAAAGCGCTCTTAGATAAGCCGAGTTGACACGTGACTGTGTGGTTGTCAATACACGTAGAATCATTTGCGAAAAACGGGGATGGGGGTGGGGGGTGGAAGTCCCAACCCGACCCAAGGTCACAGCATCTCTCTTACACAACTATCTTAGCACTAGCTCATCCACACAGACGGACAGGAGGTTCAAACGACGTTCAAGAGGGACCATCGAATGAGCCGAACCACGGGAACTAGACCCTAGGCTGGACCCAAACACGTAGGCTCCCCACCGAGTTCAACCACTCTAACACACTTAAATCCCTCGGCCCACACCCAACAGAGATTTAGCTTGACTTAGCTGATTGGTTTGCTCTCGCATCATCACCATTCCACTTCAGTGGAATAGAATCCACTTAGCCTCTTATCGTTCCCTTAGTGTCCTCTGTGTTATCTCACTATGCGTTCATTTAACATACGTGAATCCGTCTGTAGAGAACTTTCCGGGGCCGACTAAATTTCCCTGGGCAGTTTGGAGCGACTCACAAAGTCTGCAACTTGGTTAAGTGTGGACTTAGGTAGGTGCATTCAAGAAACCCACCCGAGTTGTTCTTGTTTGTGAGAGCCGGTTAAGTCCAAGGTGCAGCTCAGTCGACCAAGTGCCGATTCCGATGAAGTTATTGCGATGTTTCCCGCTGAGTTTGCACTGGTCTCATTCCAGCAGAACGAATGGTCTACATCCCACTCTCGGACACAAGCGAAATGTGAGCTTGCAGAACACGGTTTAAAATAGCTTTTGTACGTAAGGGGTTATCCAGACCAGTAACAGTGTCTATCCGCTTTTCTACAATGCCAATTCTGGTAACAAATGGGGCAGTTGCGATCCTACTACTGTCCGCTGTAATACCATAAACAGTTTTTGCAGTCCCTAAACGATTCGACGCATCCCGTGCTATCTCAAGTAGTTGCTAGAGCCTAATATAGAACACTGACTACCGGGTAAATCGGCATAAGCAATATTCTCACAATGATATTTCACAGAAGGAGTAGAAGCCCGACTCTTGAAATACATGTCTACTGTTGTCATAGGCAACTGATGTGCATTGAACAGGGAAGCAACATGATTGGATTGTCACCTCGAAAATATGGCCTCTTCGGTACCATCAGCAAATGAATACCGCTCGAGGAATAATCTTCTGTAGGAGGAGCTAAGCTCACTTTTGTCCTAGTTAACTTCGTCCGTTCCCCGATTATAGACTATATAATGTGCTGTACGTCAGGATAGTCTTGTTCTACAGTCGATCGTCGTAAAGTTGTTTCCCATCTACGCTGATCCCCTCCCTGCGTTGATGAGTGATGGATTTCTTTTAGGTTGTGTCCCTCGTTATTTGTCATGACTCATGTGAACTCATAGCTAGATGGGCTAAGGTCGCTTACATTCGGGTGCAATGTTGTATCTTGACAACTCATGGTGGATGAATCACTGGATGCACGCTAATCTTACCTCAAACCGACGCAGGTCGGTATTGTCAGTAGTTACATCAGGTCTTCGGGAAATACACTCATTGCAAATCAAT